TGTCGATGGTGGTCCCCAGGTCCTGCCTTGCTGTGGCTGGGGACCTGCCTAGGATGAGGATGTCATCAAGGTAACAAAACAGTTGGACTGGGAAAGAGCACAGGTGACCTACGGCTGCAGCCAGCACCTTGGTAAAGGTCCTGGGGGCTGAGGCCAGCCCGAAGGGTAGGGCCCTATATTGAAAGTGATTACCTTCATGGGAAAACCTAAGGAATCTGCGATGTTCCGGGGCAATTCTGATGTGAAGGTAGGCCTCCGTGAGATCGATGGAGGCCAGGAAGTCGCCCTGTCGGATGTCCTCTAAGAAGGATTTCAGGGAGACCATCTTGAACCTACAGTAGACCACCCTGGAATTGAGCAGTTTAAGATCCAGGATGGCTCTCCACCCCCCTGAACTCTTGGGAACCAGAAACAGGTTCGAGTAGAATCCGGAGCCCTTCTCCCCTTCTGGAACCCTCTCAATGGCCCTGATATCTAACAGGTGTTTGATGGCCTTGGCCTTAAGGGCCTGTTTGGTTGGATCTGTGGAGGAGGCGAAGGTACGGAATCTATTAGGGGGTTGCGAGCGGAACTCCAGCTGTAACCCGAGCTTAACAGTCTGGAGGACCCACTCGTCCGAAGTGACGCGCTCCCAGGCATCTGCAAAAAGTGAGAGGCGACTGCCGATGGGGTGATCCGTGAACGGATCACCTGAACCTGCGGAAAGGGCGGCCGCCCCCTCCTCGAAAGGGCCGCTTGCCCTGCTGCTGGCCCCTGAACCTATCCCTAGGGAACTGCCTATCCCCCTGTCGATGGAACCTGGGGGTCTGGTACCTCTGCTTCTGGATGTCCGATTCAGTTGGGCGGTAAGATGTTCTCCTGGGGTACGGAACATGCCGGTGATCTGACCGTCTGGTCGTAGCCGGGAAGACCTTCCGCTTATTTTTGTCCTCCACCAGGATCGGATCCAGCGAAGGGCCAAAAAGTTTGTCCCCGGCGTAGTCTGCTCCTGCCAGGTGCCACTTAGCCTGGGACTCCGCCTGCCAATGGCACAACCACAGCAGGTGCCTGGATGCTACAGAGGATGATAAGGCTCGAGAAGCATACTTAACTGCATCCAAGGTGGCGTCTGCTGAGAACTGCGTGGCTGCCAGCACTTTAGAGATGTCCTGCAGCAGTCGTACCTCCGTGGCCAGGGTCCTGTCTCTCAGCTGTTCCAGCCACAACACTGTAGACCTATTGAAAAAGGATGCAGAAGCGGCTGCCCTAATGGCCCAGGTTATTGCTTGGTATGACTTACGCAAAATGATGTCTGCCTTCTTGTCCTCTGCTTTAAGACAGTTAGCGATGTCTCCCGTGACCACGGCTGAAGCTGAAGCTAGGGTGGCGACTGGGATGT